TTCTGGACAAGCCAAAGATGAAGGATTTCATAAAAGAAGCTTTGGACACAATGCAAAACTCACAGAGTGCAGCAATCGACATTTGCTTTATGAACACAGGAGATAGTGACCACATGACTCACCGAATAGACTGGGTTGCTGACTATACTCCCTTAGATTACAAAATGCACATAAGAATTGGTGATGGTGAATATTCGAAAGGTGTTGGACCAGGAAACATAAATATTCTAGCTTACAATGGACAAAGTTCGACTGAAGAACATATTTCAAATGTGTTGTATGTTCCTCAACCCCAATATAATCTATTCTTTGCTGGAGTTGCAATGGACAAAAATTTGAGATTGGAAGCTGATAAGAGCTTTTGTAAATTTTTGAAACGAACAGAAGTCATGGCTATGGGTAAGCGTTCAAATAATGAAAAAATATAAAAGTAAAAGATAATCAAAAATTGTTCAGCGAACCATGTGCAGTTTATAAAATCGACACCATTTCCCAAGAGTAAAACTGAAACAAGTCGTATAGATGAAATAGTACATGCTGATCTGTGCGGTCCCTTGAGTGCAAAATCATTGAGTGGTTTTCGCTAATTTTTATTTGGCAAAGATGATTATTCACATTTTCGTACAGTTTACTTTATTGCTGCAAAATCAGATACACTTAGCTGTTTACAAGATTATGCTAAGAAAGCTGAGAAACATTGTCCCAAAGGCATTGAAATTGTTAGGGCTCACAACGATCTTGAGTTTGTCAATCAAGAAGTTACACAGCTGTTGGAAAAATTTGGAATTACACATCACAAAACAGTACTATATTGTCCAGAACAAAATTGAGAGAGAGAACCGCACTATACTGAAGCTATGCTGCAGATATCAAACATAGACTCTGGGCAGAAGGAATGAACAATGCTCTATATACTTTAATAATTTGAATTGTGGAGGGACTAGGGCAGTATTTCTGGCCAGACACCCTTTGAAAACAGGTTTAACAAGAAGCCAAATTTGAATGAATTACATATATTTGGAGAAAAAATCATTTTTCATTTACCACCTGTACAGAGATCAGAACTGCAAATAAAAGGCAACATTGGAATATTTTTGGGGTATGATGACCTTGTCAAAGCGTATATGGAATACTGAAAAAGGTTGTTATTATTGAAAGAAATGTTACTTTTACTGGTAAAATACAAAGTGCTGAAAACAAGGTTTACCTTGATAAAGAACACCTTTTATATTTACCTGAGGATGCTGAATTTTAAAATAATGTAGATATTGAAGACAATGAAAAATATGAATCTGCACAAGATAATTAAGATGGACAAGAATATTTACCTGTAGAGAATTACTCATCCATTGGGAGCCAATTTAAATGATTTACCTGTTGTCTAAGTAACTGTAAATAATATTAAGCAAAGGCAATTAAGATTAATTAACCACCTTGAAACCATCAAGTTACTTAAGGGATTCTGAAGTTGAAAATATATTCATGGCTATGGAAGGAGAATCTTTAACATATCAACAAACCGGACAAAGTGAAGATGTACAGGAATGGTTAAATGCGATGCAGGATAAACTTACTTACCTAATACAGAATAAAGTATGAAAATTAGTTGCACCACCTGCATGATCCACCATTGTGGGCAATAAATGGGTTTCTAAAGTTAAAACTCATGTCAATGGAAGTTCACCTAAATATAGAGCAAGACTGGTTGCTAAGGGATTTACACAAGTAGTAGTCCTGTCACCAGATTTACCACTATTCGGATGATTTTACCATAGTAATGGTTCAAGAAGATTTGATACTTAAACAATTTCATTTCAAGGCTGCTTTTCTCACTGGAGATATCCAAGAAGAAGTATCTATGGATCAACCGCAAGGATTTTCCGATGATACCAATAAAGTATGCCAGCTGTTGAAAAGTATTTATGGTTTCATCAATCCTGCAGATGCTGCAACCAAAAATTAAAGAAATTTCTTATTACTTATGGTTTAGAAGAATATAATAAATAAACTGATAATGGGCTTGTTCCGTGAAATTCAATTTTGGTAATTTTTAAACGTTTTTCGGTAGTACTTAATATTCACATTACACCTGTAAAATTTCATTCGGTTAACTATGTCCGTTTTCGAGATATAAGACATCAAAAATTGTAATAGTCGCGAACCCAACGTGGCCGCTCATGACGTCACTATACGCAACTCTTGACTCGGTTGTATACTGCAACCATTAACGATTGCTCAGATGAGAGGTGCCATTGGTATTGTGCTTTAGCATTTTACTGTTATTATTAACTTTTTAAAAAAATGTGTTCAGTTGAAGTTGGATATAGTAAAGCTGATTCTGGTAATCTACCCCAAGTTGACATACTGATAATTATGGACTATTTCAATAAAAATAAAGAGTATGTCAGCTCAGAAATGAAAGGAATCAAGTTTTAAAGGTAAGTTATTTATACAGTATATAATTTTTGTGTTTTATAGAAATATGTAAGTACATATTATAAATGTTAAGACTACTAAAATTAAATGATTATTGATTAATTACTACTGCTTAAATACATTATTACTTTATATTAAATTATCTTGAAAACACCAAAAGATTAAAATGTTACTAACATTATTTTCTAATGACTATAGTACAATAAGATGTAAACCGTTTATATATTTATATATATTTGTTTAATAAAAGTTTTTGTCTAATTATATAATAGAAACTGTTGATAGGCATAATATGTCCTTTGTATTGCAGATCTGGTAGACAAAACCACGGGGACAATGCTGTCGGTTATGTTCAGTTAAGACAACAAAATAAACTTTGCGAAATAAAGGCAAAAATTACGCCGGCACATAAGATTAAAGCAGCAAATTATAATGTGAAATGTATTATAAATACTTTTGATAAAACTGTTATAGATGTAAAATGCAACGACTGTGCCGCCTCCGAAGGTGGTTGTAAGCATTCGGTGGCTTTTGTTATGTGGCTGCATCGTCGTAACGAAGATCCTTCACCGACAGAAAAAACTTGTTATTGGAAAAAGTTGTTATTATCGGCAGCATCGTCAGCAAATAAGTGTATTTCTACTGCTGATTTTAGTAAGAAAAAATTAACCACCAGTTATGACGACACATTATTAAATGAATATGTGCAAGAAAGTAAAAAGCGCAAACTTGAGAATAGTATAACACGGTATCACTACCCCTACTATAAGTATTCCAGCCTCTCTAACTATCATCTATCACTACATTTTGGAAAAACATCTTTTCCAAAAACTATTGAACATTTTATTGACTTCTGCACTAAACAAATGGATGAACAATTAATTAAAGAAGTAGAAAAAGTCACTAGGGGGCAAGGTACCAGTAAAGTATGGCAAGAAATGAGATATGGTAGGATTACAGCTTCAAAGGTTTATGATGTTGTAAAATGTAAAACATTAAATGGTTGTTTGATTGAACTTGTTAAGGATATAATAAATAAGGCAAATGAATTTTGGTTTAATGCTATTTATTATAAAGTTATATAATGTTTTAAAATAAAAGCCGTTAAAAAATATAGCTGCTTCTTATTTAATTAAAAACTTTGAATGTTAATAATTCCACAAACAATTTGTAGTATTAGATCTAAGTACTTGATTAACTGTAAATGAATACGGGCATGTGGTTGAAGAATACGAAATTCCCTGATTCTTGATATTACACGTTCGATGTGTACTCGTAAGCTTGTTATCCGCTTTGCTTCTTTTACTTCTGCTTTCGAACTTCTTTCTGCAGATGAAACAGATGGTGGCTTCACTAATTGTGCATTTTTGGTTGCCAACTGCTCTTCAAGATGTTTGAATCCTCTATCTGCCATAATTTGTGCTCCATCTTCAACTAGACCTAAGAAATTAGACTCTTCTACAATCATTTTATCAGTGATTCATCCGCCAAATCCGTTTGAGATAAAGGAAATTAAACCATCTGGAGTGCAACCTATCAAATACTTTATAGTGTCGCAGCCTTTGTATTGAGACCAAGAAAATGACTGGTTAATTGTATTACTTGGTTTTTGAATCGATATTTCGAAACAATCTATTATGCATATTGTTTTATAATGACTCTTGGCTCTTTTTTCTGTATTAATGATCTAGTTTTAAAAGTATGTAACGCGGACCGATTCTTTTGACAATCAAAAATACTAAGAATGACACCTTCTTTAAGCTTTATTCTTCCACATTTCATGGTTTTTATATAAAGATAATTTTCCATGTCCTCTTCAACCTATATTTGTTAAAAAAAATATTATAAAAAGATTGTTGATTTATATTGTTTAATAAACATACTCTAAAGTGATCNGCCAAAAACTATTGAACATTTTATTGACTTCTGCACTAAACAAATGGATGAACAATTAATTAAAGAAGTAGAAAAAGTCACTAGGGGGCAAGGTACAAGTAAAGTATGGCAAGAAATGAGATATGCTAAGATTACAGCTTCAAAGGTTTATGATGTTATAAAATGTAAAACATTAAATGGTTGCTTTATCGAAACTATTTTGGGCGCAAAAATATTTCAAACAGAAGCCATGTCGCGTGGTTTGAGATTAGAAAACGCTATCTTAAAAAAATTATCGCAACATCAACAAAATTTTCAAAGGCTGGAATTTTTCTATCGAAAGATTTTGCACTTATAGGAGCATCACCTGACGCTATTAATGATAACTTTGTGGTAGAAATTAAAAGCCCTTCTTCCTATAAAACCATTTCTAATTATTTAGATTCCGATGGCAATATAAAACCAAAATATTTTTATCAGATGCAGTTGCAAATGTTTTTATGCAAAAAAGTGAAAAGTATTTTCGTAGCGGCGGATCCTCAGTTTGAAACAACAAAACATATATCGCTTAAATATTGCGATTATGATAGTGAACTTGTTAAGGATATAATAAATAAGGCAAATGAATTTTGGTTTAATGCTATTTATTATAAAGTTATATAATGTTTTAAAATAAAAGCCGTTAAAAAATATAGCTGTTTCTTATTTAATTAAAAACTTTGAATGTTAATAATTCCACAAACAATTTGTAGTATTAGATCTAAGTACTTGATTAACCGTAAATGAATACGGGCATGTGGTTGAAGAATACGAAATTCCCTGATTCTTGATATTACACGTTCGATGTGTACTCGTAAGCTTGCTATCCGCTTTTCCTCTTTTACTTATGCTTTTGAACTTCTTTCTGCAGATGAAACAGATGGTGGCCTTACTAATTGTGCATTTCTGGTTGCCAACTGCTCTTCAAGATGTTTGAATCCTCTATCTGCTATAATTTGTGCTTCATCTTCAACTAGACTTAAGAAATTAGACTCTTCTACAATCATTTTATCAGTGATTCTTCCGCCAAATCCGTTTGAGATAAAGGAAATTAAATCATCTGGAGTGCAACCTATCAAATACTTTATAGTGTTGCAGCCTTTGTATTGAGACCAAGAAAATGACTGGTTAATTGGATTACTTGGTTTTTGAATCGATATTTCGAAACAATCTATTATGCATTGTACTCTTCTGTATCTATGTCTAAATGGAATCGGAAGTTGTTGTACATCAAATAAACTTTTCCACTGAACGAAGGGCTTGAGGAATTTAGCTAGTAAAGGAAAATCATTTTGCACTATTGAACATACTTTCGTAACTGACAAACAGAAATCATCAGCTAATATCCTGCAAGATGTATCAAGTTTAATTTTCTTCAACGTTACAAAAATATAAACAAAGAATTGCTAGGAATTCCTAGATACAGTTTTGGGTTTTTCTCAATCAAATATATACTTCCTTTTTGAGTGTATTCTTTCGAATTCCAAATTTGTACATAACCCTCGGACATATCAAAACCTGAGAACACAGATGTGCCAGATGTTGTATCACCACTCGTGGATGCAATTAAATCTATTGAGGAAACTTTTTGAGAATCAAAGAGAGGCAGGGTTTCACATTTTCGTTGTCTTTTATTACCTTCATTAGTAGTATCTTCTGATCTTAGTTTTTTACACGTTATTTGAACCAAGTCTTTCCTTATACATTAAATAGCTTTGGATCTTCTTGGTGGTTTCAAATTAAGTTGGATACCAATACCACGATCGATTGAAGTAGGATTTTGAATATTACTCTCTTCCTCTTTATTAGCCTCCAAATGAACTTCCTCATTTACCGGATTTTCATGCAACAGTTGTTTTATAATGTCTCTTTACTCTTTTTTCTATATCAATGATCTAGTTTTAAGAGTATGCAACTCGGACCGCTTCTTTTGACAATCAAAAATACTAGGAATGACAGCTTCTTTAAGCTTTATTCTTCCACATTTCATGGTTTTTATATAAAGATAATTTTCCATGTCCTCTTCAACCTATATTTGTTAAAAAAAATATTATAAACATACTTTAAAGTGATCTTCACAACAAAATCTCGTGCCTTTGACGGATACAAAATCAGATCTCCTCATTGCACGTTGCCATGCTCTTCTAAGGTTTTGGTCGGATGGCAAACAAATAAATACTTTTTCTGGAGTATTTAAACTTGTATTTGTGCATTCCAGAACTACGCAATATTTATATGAACACTTTTTTTGCACTCATATTAAATCAAACAGTAGTATATAACACAAATGATAATTTGAAAACAGCGTACCTATTGGGATCCGTCAAATGGGCATACACCATCTGTATGAATTTATAAATAACTCGAATGAGGGAAAAATTTACATAGGAACTGTGCACGCAAATTGTAAAATTGTTTATTAAAATAATAATGTACTGTCCAGTACCTCCAGATTTTAGTTTCAATTATTCCAGAATACTGATGAGACATATATCTATATTCTTAATCAGCATGCCGAATGGTACAACATACTAAAATTTCAAAAAAAAAACAAATCAGAGAGGTGTAAACGAATCTCCACCATTACCAAAATGATAAATGTATACAATCCATAACCGCTGTTAATGCACTCAATCCTTACCAGTTATTATATCTAATTTTAATTTTGTAATATTAATACCCCAAAAATGGTGACTAACTGGTCCGAGTTACAGCCATAACACATAAGTAATTCATACATCTAATTCATATACCAGTACCACTGCCAGCAGTAAATTAAATATTTAAAAATAATTGCTACATAAAACGTTTAAAAGAGAATCATACCAAACAAGAAATAAAAAACATTGCGAACTAAAAACCTTGATTAAATGAGGCAATTCACAAGAGAGAAAGGTGCTTTTAAAATATATATGTGTAAAATGACCAGAATAATAAATAATGAAAAATTTATTATAATTTTGTAACACCTGGGTACGGGTGGTTACAAATCACTAGATTATTATAAATTACAATTTTTTGACTTAACAATACTCTATTTACAAGTACCAAAATTGCACATTAATGAATCATGCACTCTTTTAATGTGATAATAAGTCAACAGACCTGCACATATTATAAAATAGATATGTGTTATTAGGTATGTAAATTTCAATACTCAAAATTTTTAATAAGTTCATCGACAGAAGGTCGCTGCCTAACATTATATTGAAGACACCGTTTTACCGTGTCGATAAGTTTATCTGTAACTTTATCAACTGCAGGAAACTTAATTTCATGACTGGGGTCCATGATCGCTGATAATTTTGCATAACTATTGCCTATGTGTTGAAAAGGTGTTCTCCCAAAAAGTAATTGATAGAGAATACAACCTAATGACCACACATCGGATTTAAAGCTTATCTGCAAAAGGAATACATTTGGATTTTATTACTCATAAGCATATTATTGTTTTATGCTCGAAATTTGTTCTTTAAGTTGAATAATATCAAAGAGACTCACCCCTATAAATCACAAACTTCTTGTGAACACGACTGTATCTACTTTGGAACTAATAATACATTCTTAAATTAGTAAAGAGACAATATATTCTATAAATTAAGTAATTAAAGACATACAAGCTTGACTATAAAATAACAGATCACTTGCCACTTTCTGCACACGTTATGATTAACTGTCCAATAGTAAGATCTAAATACATATCGAAAATTAACTTAAAAAATCTAAAATTTGGGCAGACATATTAATTGAGACAATGTTTGCGGAGACACAAACAAATCTTGTGAGCCACTGTTAGCCACTAACAAAATCTATGTCGTAATGCTGCTGTGGTTACTAAAATTAAGAGAGATGCTAGAAAGTCCTGTATCACTGAGGCCATTATAGATCTTGCCGTGAAAAACAAAGGCTATATAACGCATGGCAGAAAGATTTTCATAATAATACACTGAAAACAAAATTTAAGATTTATTTAGACAAGTTGAGAAAAGGATTGAGAAATGCAAAGATTATGAATGAAAGTACTGAAGTTAATATGCACCAAAATGATAGCAAAAAGCTCAGGAACTTCATAAACAATAAACTAGGTAAAAATAAAAGAGAAAAGAACGCAATAGATAACTTAGTATTATCGGATGGAAGAATAGTACTATAGGTAACACATTAGTTGGAAAAATAATGCTTCACAGGCTGATGTTTATGAGAACGTCCTTATTGTACTTACAATAAATAGAGATATTTTATGCCGGTTACAACCAGAAATATCAAGGCAAAAAAATGGAAGAACATATAAACGCTTTAATAGCAACAATGGCAGAAATGAAAACAGGACAAATAGAAATGACACAAAAAATCAATAAAGGACAAAAAATAAAAAAGAAAATGAATGCAGTACAAGATGATATGAAAATAGGACAAGAAGAACTAAAAGCAGCTCATGAAGAAATGAAAAAAGAGTTGAAAGTAGCTCAAGAAGAAATGAAACAGAAAATGGAAAAGGTACAGGAAGTAATAAATACGAGAAAGGAGGACAACATAAATGATATTAGAAATGAAGTGGATAAAAACATAGAAGAAAGGGAAATCATAATAGAAAAGAAGTGACAGAGGCAAATTCCTGGACTGATTTCAGAAAAAGCAACAGCACTAATAATTTCTCTACGAAAAGAGGCGCTCGATATTTTCCAAGAAATGTCTGAGTCCCAACAATATGACTTCCACCATCTTGTCAATCGCCTAGGAATAAGGTACGGCGATAAACACCTACAGCAGGTACATCAGACGCAACTGAAAAACCGTAATCAAAGAAGTAACGAGACTCTTCAATAATTTGAATCCCTTGTGGAGCGCCTTGTAAGATTAGTCAGAGACGCCGAACTACAGCAAATCCTAAGATTAGCATGTCACAAAACTCCAAGTAAAGGATTGTCACACGCCCTGGGGTTTGAAGCGGTTAAACAAGCTTACAAAGGTCATATACGGGTACGACAGGCAGAAATCGACGATAATGCAATTACAAAAGAAGATCTCATGTTGTTCCTCCGAGAATACGTAATTGATGTGAAGAAAGCCACTGCTAGAAACGCGAGAGAACGGAACCTAAAATGTTGGGAATGTGGTAGGACTGCTCATTTTGCCTGAAACTGCAAGAAGTACAGTGGTCGTCTGAAGTGTTGGAATTGCGGAAAACTAGGGCACATAAGTCAAGAGTACCCTAAAAAAAAACACAGCAGCATATGCGAAACCGAACCAGGAGGCACAGACCGCTGCTGTGAAGATTGTTAATAACTGAATTAGCTGATATGGAGTACCATTAGAATTGCATTCCGACAAAGGCAGGAATTTCGATTCGGTTTTGTTCAAGAACATCGCTGAACTAATGGACATTACTAAAACGAGGACTACGCCTTTACACCCACAGTACAATGGAATAGTTAAACAATTTAACGCTACTCTGGAGACCAATTTAAGAAGCGTCGTCAACGAACACCAAACTGACTGGGACCGACACATACACTATTCCTCCTAGCTTATAGATCCGTTATCCATGAGAAAACTGGAAGAACACCAGCCGGCATTGTATTCGGGAAAGAACTCAGATTGATAGGGGACATGTTATCTGATCGTCCTAGTGATTCTCTATTACCTACAGACGAGTACGAGGGCGAACTACGAGAACGAGTCATCTATAATGCTGTATGTACGAAGCTGCGACTTGAAAGTGGTCGCATGAAGACCAGATACTATCGACGAGCCAATTCTGCTGGGTTTAATGAAGGCGACAATGTACGGCTATATAATCCATTAAAGCGGAAGGGGGCAGTATGTATGAATGTAGGCAACGCAACATACATATTGTCAAAGAAGACCAGGTTTCTAGAAGTCATACATTAGAATATTCTGGAACGGCTAATTTCAACAAATAGTAGTTGTGAGATCGAGTGGAGTTAGTACAAGTAAGAGAGTTCGAGACAATAGAAAGAGAAGAGAGAGCGAATAAGTGATGAAGTGTTTATATAGGGGTGAATTGTTAACTAAACTGGTAATTTTACAATTATACAATTTCACAATCTACCAACAAATGATTTATCGTACTGGTAAGTTACACTTTACATTCTTATTCTCATTCATTTGCCCTACATTATCCCCCATCGACCTAGTTATACCTAACGAAATGTCCTTTTTCCTTCTTTATTTACCATATCTTGTTTTTCTTCATCCCATATCTCATAACTTCCTGTACCCAAATATAGCCACCATATCTCCATTCTTTCTCTCTCCTCCTTTACCTTATGCTCCAACATCCTCTGTATTCTTCTCTCCTTCATAGTCATATCACCTCTTATATAAATGTCCGCCCCCCTCAGACATCTACCATTTACCTGTTCTTCCTACTTCTCCATTCTTGCGCCATATACCATCTTTTTAACTTTTCATACTCCCTTCACATCCACCTTCAATCCCATCTTCTCTTTTATAACTCTTTCCAACGCCCTTTCTTCTTTATTCTCCTCCAACTCTATCCCAAGGATTGTCAGATTCAGTTTTTTTCTTCCCTTTTCTTTTCTAGTTCTATTACTAATCTCCTTATTTTTTCTTCTGTTTCTTTGCTTGCTTCTTTATTGTATTTGCTCCTCTATCTTCTATTACCAATTCCTTAACGTCTTCTTTTAAGTCGTCCATTCTTGGTTTTAATCATCCCTTTCCGCTTTCTTCATTATATTTTTCATTTCACCATTCCACTAGTCTCTCTCTCTCCAGATCTTTCATCTTTTATACAATTATTTTCTTCCTGAATTTCATTTAGTTTCTACTCCAGTTATTTCCATCTTATATTTTCTTGTTCCTCCCCTTTTTTTGTTTTTCATCACTTTCTTTCAATTTTTCTTGGTTTTCTTTTTTTAATTCTTTTACCAATTTCATTAATACTTCCAATTTATCTATCTCACTAACAATTTTTTTCTCCTTTTCTTCCTCACTACACGCTTTTATTTTTTTTTTACTTTCCTCCTATCTTCTGTCTCTAAACCATCTTTTCCTTCATCTTTACTTCTACTATCTTCTTCCATAAATGCCACTCACTAAATTATTATTTTCCTAAGTCCACTTTTTGGTAAATTTCCTCTCACCGTTGATAATATACAATAATCTTTATCTGAAGGACTACAAAAAGTCTTAAGGACGTTACAAGTGTGTTGCGGAAAAACTCCAACAATTCAAATCACTTACAATTACTCTCCAAGGCATAGGATACTGCCAGTTATAATAAATTAAATATTCATTATCCATCTGTTCACCACACATGCGCTTAAATTAATGCTATTTTTCCCTTTGAACTACAACATAATTCTAGAGCACAAACAATCTGTACTTTAAGAGTATGACGACCCCCCATCAACACCCCAATATTAATTATAACATTATAATAATGCCAAGTCTTAATTATTATTTGCAATTGTATGTATTTATATTTAAGGACTTGCTGTAGTTTGGGGTCTTTGATTCCATCGACAAATGTTATACCACCAATTAGTCTATGAACTTTTGAGAAGCAAAGGGGTAGGCAAAGTAGTAAACTTACGAGGCGCTCCACACTGGACTCAAAGAACTGAAGACTCGCTACTTTGTTGGATACGGCTTTTCAGTTGTGCCTGATGAACCTTAGTTTGTCCAAAAAATTATAAATTTCTAGCTTCAGTTTGTTATCTAACTAACTAATCTACTTATGAATGTAATTGTCGATTATCTACCGCAGCATTTTTTAAACAATAAAAAGGAGTACGCACATACATACACATAATTTTCTAATTCTAGGTGAAATATAACAAGTGATTTAAAATATTTTCGTTTTATATTTAATGAGGCTTTTTAATTGTAAAACTTAAAACATTTAAAAAGGTTTCAATACTACATTCGTTAAGGTAATTAGCGAAGATATTATTATAAACTCTTATAATATCATGAGTATATCTTTCCGTTATCTTTCTAAGAAATATCTTTTTCTTCTGTTCACAATGCTACCTATGAAAATCTCACTTTTACAGTCTCCTATAAAAAACATTCCTTCCTTTCTATTTTAACAATCATAGAGGCTTTCATTAACTAGCAATAACCTTCTATAAAACTTCCCTCGCTTCGGCAATTCTGTATGTAATTTACACTGAACCGACAACCCATCCCAAAAACTACAACACTCCTTGAAAAATACTTCTTTATACTTTCTAACTTTAAATCTATTCTTTTTCCGACAATTTCTATTCGTTTTACTGCAGCCGAGCGTGAAATTGTGCCAAGTCCAAAGTGCCCTTGATGTAGGTTTTTTCCTTCCACTTGTTATTATTTGTAAAACTATCAGTTTTAAAAATTGCATGAACCCCTCCAAAAAAACATGTTTACTATAATAATTTACTACAATTAAATTGTAAAATTTTAGAGTTGTCTTTTTTATCTTAAGTTAAGTTAATAACTATCATCAACGTAGTGTAACCATATTTTTAGTAAACTTGGAAATTTAATTTAAGAATAAATTATAGTTTTCAAAGCATNGGAAAATTCGTGCTCTTGTAATATCATCATAAATAAATTTAAGGTATTTAAGTTAAATAAAACGAAACTTTGGATTTTTCCCTAAATTTAGGGAAAAATTCAGCTTCGTTTTATTTAATTCATAATTATGTTTGTCACTTTCAATTTATCATATAAAAAAGGTAAAGATTGTGTACCTTGAATTTGGGATTTCCATGAGGGGATGAAGTATCTATTGAATTTCGATTATTTTCATTAAATAACGCCTCGGGGCTAATGTAATCAAGCGAACCTATTGCTACGTTTTTTATAACGGAAGTCATGTCACTTTGAATACACGATGCTATGCCAAAATCAATGAGTTTTAAACTTGTTTCTGCTTTAATGAAGTTGGCAGGTTTAAGATCAGAATGAATAATTCCTAATAACAAAGAGCATACATTAGTAACATTCTACAACAATTAATATTTTCTTATTTGTACCATTTTCGTGGATTTGTTTTACAGCATAAAGCATCTCCATCCAATAAAACATTATAATATGATTTGCAAGGGGTTTTCCTTGTCCAGAAACTTTTTTCAATATTTTATCTAAATCCATTCCACCTTTTTCTAGTACCACCCACAATATTTTACCTTCAGTTGGATGCTCTTGAACCTCTCTGAAATGTACGTTATGAAATAGCGCTCTTTAAATGTTAAATAAAAAGATATGTTATATACTTAAATATAATACAAAAAAGATTGATTAAAAATGAAAGTATTCAAATCCACTTACGAATCATACATTCTAATTATTCTGTTACATGTTTGCAGTTTTTTAAGTATTTCAACTTCATTGATGTATTCCACAGCGGATGACTTTGCTCTACTCAAAAACACTTTTTTCAATGCCCTTTCTTCTTTAGTTATAGGGTCAAAGCAGAAATACACAACAGAACTTCCACCACGTCCCAATTCCTTCATAATAATATACATTTTGTGTTTTATGCTAATACTGTTGAACATGAAATTGTTTGACGTGCTGTTCATAGGACTTCCCAAAATTACTTCTTCGTTATGTACAGTATTTTTATTCTGTTGATTTTCTTGTTCTCGATAATTCAGTTTTTTCCTTGATTCAAAAATATTGTCAATTTTAAACAATTCGCTATTAAAATGGCCTGAGGCAGCTCCATTAAATTTTATGGGCGTTTCAAAATTTTTAACAAAAGATTGATTTTTTAAAGGCTTTAAGTTATGATCTGTGCTGCAATGAATTCGTGGCACTGCTTGAATATTCTCCTCTACTAAATCTAGGCTCTTACTTTCTATAAAGTGAAGAAGAATCAATGCTTGAATTACAGCTAATGAAGACATATTAGTGTAAATTAAACAAAGTATACAGGCTATTAATTTGAAACACTAGACAACAATAAAATGTTTGTGAAAATATACTACATTTGTTAAAGTGTTTGTAAAATGGTGATATTGCTGTTAGCTATTATTGTTTAGAACTTTTGTTTATTGTTATCTTTTTATTGTTTGCTATTTGCCACTTGTACACATTAAATTAAAAATTGCTATTATATGAAGAAAATGCTGAATTTAGAGGACTATTACAAATATTGCAATTAACAAGGCAGATATTTGTTGAAAAATAATGAATAAAAGCAAGGTAATATCACATGTTTTCAGTGTTTCGTTGTATAGTAAGAATAAGAGCAAGAAGAAAAGTGTTTTCTGTGGTGGTAATTGTAGTTTATGTATGTATCAAGTACCATGTGTTATTAGTATAAATGGAATGACAATGCTCAAATTATGTAATGTACGTTATTATTGTTAATAATTATCGTTAAATTAAGAGATTTAAGAAAATACGATCTTGGATTTGAATTAACCTCAAAATACTGTCGCGTTTTTAATGCACGTTATTATTTATCGCGTCGTAAAAACGTAAAACAATAGGTACCTACTTGTAAATATAAAGGAAAAACGCAGCAATAATCAATATTTTATATTGTATTCAAAAAGAACATGTATTCTACATTATATAAATCAAAATTAACAGAAAAAAATGTTTCAACATTCATAGCATGAATTTGATCTGTTTTGCATAAATGGGACATTTGTATTTATTACGGTAGGCGATTATTCTCTTTTCCTTTGCCGAGCAAATATAGCATATGGTTCTTTTTCCTCTAGTAAGAATATTTTCGTTACTTGATGTAGGTTGTGATTTTAAATTATTAATAGATTTTTGAAAAGAACGTGAAAGGTTTTGTAATTTGCGCGATGCTCATCCATGGTCTCAATAGCTGAACGCTAAGATTATAAAAAAACGTTTGCCTAGAAATGGTTTCTTCCTTTCAGGAATATCTTTTATGTTTCAATATATAGGGTTGTTCGGAAAGTCATTTCGTTTTTTTTTTGTGGAAATGAAAGACAGTTTTCGTATAATAAACAAATACTTGATTAAATTATATATTGACCGTTCTGGTCCAACACCTTTTGCCATCTTTCTGGTAGTAGCATAATTCCACGCTCATAAAATTTTTGGTCTTTGCTGGCAAACAACTGATCGGGGAGGTTTTCGACCTCCTCATTTGAGGTGAAGGTTTTACCGTCTAAAAAATTTTGGAGTGACCGGAACAAATAATAATCCGATGGTGCCAGGTCTGGAGAATATGGTGGGTGTAGTATTGTATCCCATTCAAGCTGTAAAAGCTTTTGGCGAGTGACCAAACTTGTGTGAGGTCTCGCGTTGTTTTGGTGAAACACTACGCCTTTCCTGTTGATTAGTTCTGACCGTTTCTGTTGAAGTGCATCATTCAGTTTGTCCAGCTGATGACAGTAGACTTCCGAATTAATCGTTGTGTTATCCGGTAAAAGCTCAAAAAAAACGATTCCTTTAAAATTCCACCAAACAGACAGCATCACCTTTTTTTGGTGAATATCGGCTTTGGAAATAGTTTGAGCCGGTTCATCTTTTTTGCTCCATGACCTCTTGCGTTTGACGTTGTTGTATACAACCCATTTTTCGTCCCCAGTGATGATGCGCTTCAAAAACGGATCATTTTCGTGATGTTTGAGAAGCGAATCGCAGACGTCAATGCGGCGACACAGATTTCTCTCTGTGAGAACATGGGGAACCCATACATCGAGCTTCGTGGATAATCCCAGGCCTTTCAAGTGGTCATAAATTGTAGAATTTGATAAATTTAACCTCAATCCGATCTCACGTGTTGTTATTCGCCGGTTCACATCAACTAATGCCTTTATCGCGTCTTTATCAGCTTCAACCGGCCTTCCCTAACGTGGTGCATCTTCGACATCAAAATTGCCGGATCGAAATTTAGCGAACCAGTTCTGGCACTGGCGTACTGTCAACACACCTTCTCCATACACATCAGTCAATTTCTTTCTGGCTTGAACAGCATTTTTACCCTTTCTGTAGTAAAACAGTAAGATATGTCGAAAATGCTGCTTATCGCTCTCCATATTTAAAAGGACACCAACCAAAAACTACTGTGTAGAATTAATTGGAATTTTTCACACACAAGCCTTGCTATATGAGCTCTCAAAGCATATCAAAATTATACGGCTTAAATGTGAAGTTGGGTGCAAAAGAATACAATTAAATCCTCTGTCGGGAAAAAACGAAATGACTTTCCGAACAACCCTATAGTATAGCAATTGATTCCACGCATATTTAACATATTATAGAAAATATACAAAATGTTTTGCGATTACAACTCAAGTTGGCACACATTATATCAAAAGTATCAACTCCTCCCTTAATTGATGTATTCACATGCAGAATATGCAGACATGGTGGTCACATATAGACGGTGCAATGACAATGCACTCATTCTGCTTCTTTTTCATGTACCTTCTTTTCCCTTGATTTTTCCAGAGTACTGATTAGACATCATCATCATCAAAAGGTCGTCAGTCCTAAGACTGTTTGGACACGCACCTCCACTCTTTTCTATCCCGAGTTAATCTTCGCATTTCCCTAAAACTAGAACAACCCATATCCTTAACTATTTGCGAACAGTAATCTAATCTAGGTCTACCTCTACCCCTCCTAACTTTCGTTTCTGCCTTTAATATGTCTCTAACTAGACCTTCATGCTTGAGTAGGTGTCCTACTAACCTATCTCGTCTGTTTCTTATCGACTTCCATAAAGTCCTGTTCTCTTACTCTTTCTAACACCTCTTCATTTCTAACCTTCTCTATCCACGGTATCCTCATCGTTTGCCTGTAACACCATATTTCGAACGCTTCTAACCTTTTCTTTCCGCCACGCCCACTGTCCATGTTTCGCACCCGTACAGCGCCGTGCTCCAAACATATACCTTCAACAACCTTTTCCGAATTACCTTTATTAAACGTTCGCGAGTATAGAAGTAATTTAATTTTATTGAAGACGACTCGACCCTGCGCTATCCTCTGCTTTATATCCGTACTACTCCTTCCGTCCTGACTAATCTGATGTGAACGCCAGAAATCATATAAAATGGCGAGAGAACATTAAAGAAATCAGAGGAGAGCTTCTTCTCTAACTAACTAGCTATCTCTCCTTTTCAGTGAGACTTACTTAGCAGCAAAACTGTCTTACTGCCAACTCGCGAAAAGTGATTTTCATTGATCGTGGACAGGAGAGGTGTCACAGGAAACGGTAGAATAGTGGAAATATAAACCTTCAAGTTCATGTTCCCAGTAACAGACCCCCTCCTCGTTAGTGGTTATTTTTCATTGAATTTGAGAAGATAAGTAACCCATACGACCGCGTATCAATTTCGGTGTTTTCAGGTAAAAACACAAACTTAAACAAAATCTTGCTCACGCGACAAATCGGATGCGCAGTGCCATATTGCGCAGCAAACTTGGTGACGGTATACGACTCGCGTCATACATTAAACAAGCCATGTACTTTCTATTATTTTCTTCCCGTTTTCTCCTTTATTAGTGATGATACTTTTCAGACTCCTTCTAGTCAGGTTACATTATTGCTCTTATATCTAGTCATATTGATAAAGCTTCCACTACATATTTGTCAGCAATATACTGGATTGATTTTACTAATAGAAGTATTAGAAGTAAATTTTAAATCACAGTAAGGTGACGTAATACTTTAGTACCATAAAGAAAAATTAGTTTAAAAAAAATCAACATATTATCATGTGTTCCGTTCCTTCCCCTCAATGTTTAATAAAAATAATCAAAATTGATTAGAGGTGAAAGAGATTTATTAGAGTAAAACCAACATTGTCGTTTCGCCTCTGATTGGAGACTTTTCAAGGCTGCAATATATGTACAGTGACGGACTTAGAAAATGTCTAATTAACATGAACTTACTACCTTTCTAGTCTTTTTTTTAAGTTATAGTAATATTACTTTCAAATCGTCGAGATGAGTAGTACATAAATTCCCAAGAAACTTAATATAATAAAACATACATATAGTTATGTCCACCAACAGAACCCTTTTATATGATAACATTCTTCGACCATAGGGCGACGCTTAAGTGCATTCCAAGATAACCCTAAATTCCAGTACACAGGGATAAATAGGACTGCCCAATGAAGAAGCAGTCAGTTCTATGCTTTCTTTAAACTATTCATCTAAGTATAGTTTGTAAAGTACAGGGCTCAGTTTGTATTTTAATAAATAAATAATTTTTTAAAAAGACATCTTCGTTGTCTGCAAACTTAATTATATACATTCAAATTGTGCTTCCAAAAAGTCATGGACCGATGATACTTCAGAAGGCCTTCTGCAACCACTAGCAAAAGGGAGTCGATTAATTATTTATTATTCATGCTGGTGGCAAGATGGGCTTTATAGAAAACGCCTGTCTCATTTTCAAGTCAGGTTTAAAAACAGGCGATGGTGATGTCATAAAATACAACAATTACCGAAAGTGACTCCAAGAAAAATTTCTCCATAATTTGCTTACAAATTCAGTTGTAGTTATTGACAATGTCCCATACCACAACGTTCAAAAAGAAAAATGCCCTNCTAGGGAAATTATTTCACAATATGACGGTGGAAGCAAAAATCTTTCTTACTATATTCAACAAATTATTATTTGAACTCTGTTGTTCAAAATTAACAGGCGCAGGCGCGACACATTAATTATTTCAAATTGTTCAACATAGTGGCAAGTAAAAGACAAACGAAAATTATGAACAATATTACAAAAGTATAAAATCTAAATTGCAACAATTGTTAGAACACATTAGTATTAGGGAACATGATAATAATTTTAAAATATACAAGACGGATATGTATAACAAACGCGCATTAAATACTTATATGTCT